GCACCCCCAGCCATTCCCCACTACTTGCCCTTCTGGTGAATCTAGTTAGCCAATCTAGAGGTCTTTGTTTTAGGAGGGTCAGCTGTTCCTCATCTACCAGCAATCAGTTGTTAATATTCCTTTAGATGAGATTGGGGTCTGCTGTTCATTTTCCCAGTTCTGTGCTGGGTTACTACCTGGGAGTCCCTTTGGCCACCACAGCCAGAAACTCAAAAGAAGGTATCACCTGTCTGGCATTGTTGCTTGTCATGTAGCCTTTAGCTATACATCTGGACTCTTATGAAATTATAATGGCCCCTTTAATCTTTGGTTATACTTTCCTTTTGGGTGTTTAAGGCCATACAGTTGGCCCAGATAAACCAATTTATTTTTACTCTTAAGGTCATTTGAGGATCTGTTCCTCAGGGGTCACTGCTAGTCTCGGGTAGCTGGTGGCCATGCCACCCAGAGATGTAAAGGGAGATGGGGGTGGGAAGAGGCCCCAAGGGCTCCTGGGGACTGCAGGGAGGAACTGGGTTGATCTGGATGCAAAGGATCAGGAAGCCGAGATGTCAGCTCCAGTGTCCAGGAAAGAGGCTGGCGGGTTGTTGCTGCCCAGGGAAGCAGAGGGAGGTGAGGGCAGAATCAGATCCAGAGGGCTCCTGGGGACCTGCAAAGGAACTGGCTTGGGCTGCATGCAAAGGATCAGGAAGCAGTGGTGGTTCCCCTGGTGTCTAGGGTGCCAAGAGAAGGAATGGGTCAGTACCCCAGCTAGGAGGAGAGACGGACAGGGGAAATAGGAGGGTGAATGAGGCTGGGGGAGTCAAGGAGCAGAGGGTGTGATGGATTTACCCAGGAGAGAGGCTGGTGGGTTGTGCAGGCCTGAGGGCAGGACCAGGCCCAGAGGGCTCCTGGGGACCGCAAGAAGGAACTGGGTTCATCTGGATGCAAGGGATCAGGAAGCTCTATTTACTATTTTTAAAGCCCTGGAAATGACTTTAATCTTTTCTTGTAACGAATGATTGTAATGTAGTGAATGTTAACTCTCAGTGCTTTTCTCTCACCAGCCAAGAATTGGCCGAAAACACGGTAGTTGCCAGAGTGAATGGTATGTTGTGGGACTTGGACCGTCCGCTGGAAGGGGATGCCACTATAGAGCTGCTGATGTTTGATGACAAGGAGGCTCAAGCTGTGAGTATTGAAAGACCAACCAGCCACACTCTGGGTCTGTATGATGTAAGCCTTATAGGGAAGCCACATATTGAAATCAAGAAGGAGAGGTTTGTCAGCACTTAAAATTACAATACAGATTTAATAGATATTTAACAAGTGTTTGTGAAATGTGTACGCAAATATAGGTAGCCTATATTTGTTATTTCTTAAAATAATTGTTTCCTTAAGTTAAATGTTTTAGCTATTATCTCAATGGTTTTTTTAAAAATGATTTTCTAATAGACTCTTAAGTGCTTGTACTTTATAATTTAGTATCTGTAGGAGAATTTGGAAAAATTATCCCTTAAATACTTGTAAATGCAATTTTCTGTAAGATCTGTGCCACACTTCTATATAGATCTCTGCTTTGCATGTCACCTTAACTTGTAGTCTCTTCTCATGTGGTCCATCATCCCTGTAAAAACCCAACCTGTGGTTAGCTGAGATTATTGTTACACTTTTTGAATGGTAAGAACTATATCATTTCTGCTTAAAGTATGCCAAGCATGACCATAAAATGATGGGACCACTTAGTATCTGTCCTAGTTTGTTTCTCCATCGCTGTGACAAAATACTCTAACCAATACCAGCTTGGGGAGGAAAAGGCTTATTTGACTTATATCTCCCAGGTCATAGTTTATCAGGGAGCCCAATAGGAACTCAGGGCAGGAACCTGGAGGCAGGAGCTGAAGCACAGGCCATGGAGGAATGTTGCTTACTGGCTTGCTCCCCTGGCCCCTGCTCAGCCTGCTTTCTTATGCAGCACAGGGCCACCTGCCCAGGGGTGGCACCACCCACAGTGGGCTGTCCCCCCCCCCCCTGAATATCACACAATAATCAAGAAAATACCCCACAGGCATGGCCACAGGCCAGTTCAATGAAGGAAATTCCCCAATTGAGGCTCCCTTAACTCAGGTGTGTCAAGTTGACACTGAAGCCATCCAGCACAGTATCTGATAGCCCTTTGTTTTCCCTCTACTCTGAGCCTACCCCAGTTTCCATGTGGCAGTTCCTCAGTGTTCTGAGTGGACAAGCTAATTCTCTACGTTATGGGCACAGAAGGAAATGAGTTAGTAGCTATACTGTGGCTGCAGTGCACATCAGGGCAGCTCTGCATTAGACCTGAGCACATGGTTCTTGTGGAACACCAGGGAGGGCACAAGAGATGTTCTCTTCCAAGTGGGCATTGAAGACTCAACTCTGGGCACCTAGCCCTTAAATCATTCATTTTCTTACTCTGGCTGTCTTACACCTAATGTCCTGTGACCATTTCTGTGGCTACCAGCTTTTCTCTCCCTATTGTGCAGGTGTACTGGCACTCCAGTGCTCACATTCTTGGGGAGGCCATGGAACTTTACTATGGAGGCCACCTCTGCTATGGCCCACCCATTGAAAATGGATTTTATTATGACATGTTCATGGAAGACAGGTAATGCCATTGAATGCCGACTTTGAATGCAGGTGTACATGTCATTGTTGTACAGTGGTTACATGTTAGCTTAGTCACCATGTATTGTTGTGTTTGCTGATTGCTTGACCATTTGTGAAAATTGTTTTTCAAACAAGATTAGATTCAAGGGTAACTTTCCTTGCTTTCTTTCTTCTTCCCTAAAAGATATATGTACTGTTTACCTTAGTAGGACCTGCTAGAATGTGACACTAATTAAACCAGAATCATGCTTAATTCCTAGAGTGTAGTTGGTCCAGTTCTGCTCATGATAATTAAGGTGCTGTCAACCCCAGCTGAACATCTTACGTAGGTGAGCACCAGGCAGTCCACAGAGGCCTCACACTCCTAGATCTGTGCTTGAAATCATTAGCAGCCAACCTTCCCTCATCCACCCCTGCTTTGTATCCCTCACAGTTTTTAAGGATACTACCAGCTGCCAAAACTGAATCATTGGGTCCTTTTAATTCCCCCATGTTCCTTACCACCACCCCACCATCTAGCAGCTCAGTCCACTTCTGCCAGTTTTATCTAAGTAGCTATCCCAACCTCTCTCACTTCTACTTTAACTTAGACCTACATCTCTTGCTTGGACAAGTACAATGCATTTTGCCTTTGCCTGCCATTCCATGCTGTGTGGTAACCTTTCTAACAACATCCGGCACTATGTAGCTGTTTCCTACACAGGTTTGTCTAGTCTGAACCATTTTTACTTATAATTTTAAACTATGTTTACTTATAATACTCCTGGCCCTATATGTGTGGTTCTTTTTTTTAAATTTTTTTGTCCATGCCAACAACTAGTTCATCAATCTTCTGAATACCAACTAAGTGTCCAGCAATTCAATACAATTCTAACACTACATAGTTAGCCCAGACCTGTGGCTCAAATCTCAGCCCCATAGGCTGCCCCACTTCAGATGCCAGTCATAAGCCTAGGCCTCATATGTCTGACCCACCAGCTATAATAGGAAGTCCCCACAACCTACTACTTGGGTTCAGTAGCTGCTAGAATGGGTGTGGGACTTTCCTTGTATCTTGGGCTGTACCACTGCCCTGCACCTTGCTGTAGTAACCATCTTGGCAGCCTTGTTACTCAGGAAGTTGTTTTTTGACATTTTGAGACAGGATCTCCCAGTAGTCCCAGCTGACCTGGAACTTCCTATGTAGACCAGTCTGACCTCCATCTCACAGAGATCCCCCGGCCTCTGCCTCTTGAGTGCTGGGATTAAAGGCATGCATCACCATGCCTGGAGTTTTTAATGGAGGTTTTGCCACATAGACACAATTGGTTAAACCATTGATGACTGACTCACTCTTTAGCCCTTCTCCCATCTCTGGAGTGGAGTTTGTGGCTGAAAGTTCCAACACTCTAATCATGCCTTAGTTCTCTGGCATCATACTCCATCTGGATCTCTCTGAAGCCCTCAACATGTCGTTAGCACATAGAAGATGCTGTTATCAACCCAGGTACTATCATATCACCGTATCAGATCCAGCAGGTTCTCTTGTTACCATACTCCAAGCTTCATTCAGGAAAGAATTTTTGAGCTTACCATGTACTTCTGGTGGCTCAAGCTAGTCTGTCCCGTGGAGCTGACAGCCATGGAAGACAGACAACATACAAACAGCCAGCTTCCATCAGTCTGTGATGAGCGGATGAAGAGGAAGAAACCAGGAGCAGGGATGTGTGTGCTGCAGTAGGCCAGTGGTCAGGAAAGAGCAGAACACCATTAAAACAGATGCTAGACTGGAGGGAGGAGGCCAGACCTGAGGAAAATGGGGAGAGAAGATTCCAGACCTCACAGGGGATATGGTAGCTTGTTTCAGGAGCAGCAGGGAAGACAATGCAGCAGGAAGGGACTGAGCTCCAACCAGGAGCAGCTGAAAGTTCATTCTTTGTACAGAATAGCATCTGTGTGTTCCCACAGATCTTCTTCTCAGGCTAGCCACTGAATGCAGGGATGTGTGAGCCTTCATACAACTTCCAGAACAAAGGTGTAAATGTCTAATGCATAAAGAAGACCACATAGAAGAGCAGGCCTCAGAAGAGTTCAGTCTAATGGGGAAGTTCCCTAACAAACAGCACACAGATTACTATACCATATGTTCATGCCGTCTCTTCAGAAGTAGCATAATGTACTTATATATGTTTGTATTAGTTAGCTTTCCATTGCTGTGATAAAACACTGTGACCAAAAACAACTTGGGGAGGAAAGGTTTATTGCATCTTACACTTCCAAGTGACAGGCCATCATTGAGGGAAGCTAAGGGAGGAACTCAAGCAGGACAGGAACCTGGAGGCAGGAACTGAAGCAGAGATCATGAGTTGCTCCTCTGGCCTGTTCTCAGCCTACTTTCATACACAATCCAGGCCCACCCACAGTGGGCTGGGCCCTCCCACACCAGTTAACAAGTCAGAAACTGCCTCATAGATACCCACAGGCCAACCTAGTGGAGGAAATTCCTCAGCTGATGTTTCCTCTTTCCAGGTGTGTGATGGCAACTGAAGCTGACTATGACAGTGCTCAACTCAGAGATTTTGTATGATGAAACCCCCAATTCAGTTTAGAAAGTGTGTCAGCTGTGATGAAGGCCACAGGAGGAAGGACATGTATTGGGTCTGGAAGATCCGTATTGATATTCTGGGTCTTTTCTTTTTAGAGCAGTGTCCAGCACTGAGTTGACCACCCTGGAGAACATATGTAAAACCATCATAAAGGAAAAGCAACCTTTTGAAAGATTGGAAACCAGCAAGGATACCCTCCTAGAAATGTTTAAGGTACCTGGGAAAACTCAAAATAAAAACCTTTTACCAGGAATGTTAAAGTTACTTAGACTTGTTCTTCTTCCCTCCCTTCAAATAATTAACTCTTGTTCAGTAGCTAGTTGCAGTCTGGGTAGCTATTGTGAGGATGATAGCCATCAGTTGCTGTGTCATTTCCATCCTCGAGTTTCCTGAAAAGTTTCAGGCACTCATAGGTAGATGAAGAGCCTGGAGAGTAACTTTCATATGTATGCTTATAAATCTGATTAGTTCTGAGTATATCTGATTACTGGGAGTACTCATCTATTTTATAGAATGAAGTGTTCCCTGATTCTAAAGTAGAAAATGGAGCCAATTAACAGCTAAAGTAAAGAAAAAAAAATCTATTGGTTACAACAATATTTATAATCCCATAAAAATTCTTTCATAATACTCGCTCCCCTCTGAATTTTTAATTAATTTTCTTAGTTTATGCATTTAACCTAGAGTGACTTGTATAAAACTTTAATGGTATCTTTATATTTTCTTGATTAATGTACTTAAATATATTCCTAATATTATTTCTTTATATCACACATATCAGAGAAAAACACATATTTTGAAATATAGTATTATCAGTTTGGGGGGGAGTTGAATTAAAAAGATGAATTTGGGCCGGGTGTGGTGGCACATGCCTTTAGTCCCAGCCCTCAGGAGGCAGAGGCAGGTGGATCTCTGTGAGTTCAAGGCCAGCCTGGTCTATAAAGTGAGTTCCAGGACAGCTGGGGCTACAGAGAGACCCTGTCTCAAAAAGACCAACAACAACAACAAAAAAGATGAATTTGGTTTTGATAGAGGTGCAGTTATTCCTTTTTGTGTGACAATATATGTAAAATAAAACATTACTACTTTAGAGAGACAATGCGAGAGAGAAACAATGCCTAGCTAGTTTTGTAAACCAGAGGGAACCATATTACTCCTACACCCTACTGACAAATTATACAAAGCACATCAAGAAATATATGTCTAAGTAAGGCT